ATAAAACTTAACTCTCAACACCTAGATTATAAATATTTTTATGTCTACACATATGAAGTAGACACTTTCCAAAGAGCAACAAAAGAAGACAAATCTCAACATTTGGAACACTGATACCAATGGTGGACACTCCCCAAAAGATGCAACTGGTGGAGCAATTAGAACAATCATCACCCCTTTTCCCATAAGATTGTGGAATGGACACTGAGAGTGGGGAATTGTTACAGGGAAGAACAAAATCTGACTCCATGTTTTAAAAAGATTTTTTTTCAAATTAAATCTTTTATTTTAACCTTTGCTTCCTGTTGGTTTGTTTGCTACAAGGATACTGTCCACACATAATGGCCTGCCTCAGGAAACCCCGCCTCTCTGCCTTTGTCCAGGACCTGTCCACCTGTGGATGGCTACAGGAAGGGAGAAAGTAACACATCTCCCTCTGAGGCTGGCCATTCCAGGAGATATTTGCCAGATTAATGGCCTTTTTACTTTATTTCCTCACCTCCCAGCTCTGTGTTCTATAAAAGACACTGGCATTCAGACCCTGACAAGATGGTTTCTTTGAGATGTTAGTCTGCTATCTTCTCAATCTGCTGGCTTTCCAAGTAAAGTCGTATTCCTTGCCTTAGCACCTCCTCTCTGATTTATTGGCCTGTTGTGAGGTATGGAGAGCAAGCTTGGACTTGATAACAATCCCACATGCCTTGCAGTCAAAAAATCAAAACATAAAATGGAAGCAATATTGTAATAAATTCAATAAAGACTCTGAAAATGGACCATATAAAAAGATCTGAAACTAAAAACCAAAAGGAATTCAGTGGTTGTCTGACATATTTAGAAAGGAGTTCGTGCCCCTCTTGCCCATACCCCCAAAGCCACACTGGACAGTTAGGCCCTGTCCATTCAGGACACCCTCTCCAGACCCCAGCTGGAGGTGCTCTGCCCCCAGCGCCCATCTGGGTCTCAGGAGATGGCAGGGGCACAGCCTAGGGGGTCTCTTCTCTGGTCCAGGGGAGCGTCACACCAGCCACCCTGTCTCCCTGCCCATAATAAATAAGGAGGGTTGTCGGCACCTGGGTGAGTGATGTTGTGGGCACCTGGACTGCCTCGTCCTTGTGATTTGATGTGAAGACAACACAGGAGAACCAGCCAAGAGGGATCCAGGCAGCAGTGAACCCCTCTTCACAGGGACCCTGTGAGACCCGAGACTCACTCTGCCCACCCTGCTCCCACTTTTGGGAACTGGCCTTTGTCATTCTCTGGGCAGGAGGAGGGAAGGATGACCCGGTCTCTCTTCCACCTCCTGAGACCCAGGTGGGCCCTGGGGGCCGCAGCACCTCCACCCGGGGTCCAGAGAGGGTGTGCTGAATGCACAGGGCCTAACCGTTCAGTGAGGCCGGCCCTCGTTCACAGTGCACTGACCTACTGCAGGGTCTCGGGTTCCCTGGCATCCAGCTCCCCCATCGCCAACCCCAGCTTGGTGTCTTGGGAGCCCCTCACTGGCAGGCACCCAGCAGGTGAAAGCTGCATGCCCAGCGAGAAGGAGGAGAAGCTGGTGGGCAGGGGTCTAGCATGGAGTGTCCAAGGCCCCTCTGCTCCCCCAGGAACACCCAGCCCTGCCTGCCGTGGGCTTTCTCCTCTTTAGTATGTGTCTTTGTGTCTGATGTTAGAAAGGAGTTCTAACACCTTCCTCTGGAAGAGAAGGCTCCATGACCATGGAACGGGTGGAGGTGAGGAGGCGCTATAGCCCTAAACCCAGGGAGCTTGAGGACTAACTTCCCTGAGCCCTGAACACACTGTCTGTTACATCTGTACCAACCGAGGCCAAGATCCAGGCAGATTCTCTGTGGAAATACTTTCCATGTCCAACAAAAGAACCAAACTAGGCCAAGATCTGGGCAGATTCTCTGTGGAAAAATGTTTCATGTCCAACAAGATAGCATTTGTTAACCCACAGCTGAACCCTGAGACGTGGGACGTGCTGTAACTGTGGAGACTGCAGGGAAGGTGTTTGAGGGGCTTCTTCCCGGGGGGCTCCCCTGAGGCCCCTGGAGTTACTGGACCCAGAGGCGGAGCACTCGCACTGCTCTCCTCACTGCAGGCCAGACGGTGCCCCCAACCACACAGCCCTGTTCCTCTGCCTCCCTGAGTTCAACAGAAACCCCCCGGTCATGAGGCCAAAGTGCAGTCTTCTTGGTGAGCAGAGCAGAGGCCGGTGGGAAGGGGGATGGAGGCTGAAATCTTCTTTGTAGAAGAAAAACACGCATGTGTGTTCCCGTGAGTGGTGGCCAGATGCTGCAGTAATTGGTGTTCCCTACAGATTTATGGGTGGGTTTTAGTTTCTGTATTTTCTAAATTTCTTTTTTTTTAAAAACAGCTGCATATTATGAGAAATTTTTTGCAATCAACCATGAGAACTTGCAAAATAAGATCTTTGTTTTTTTTTTTCTTTCACTAAAATGTTGCTGTTTTCTCTTGGTGACAGATGAACAACCTCCTACTTTTAAGTATTCATTTAATGGGCTGCGCTGGGTCTTAGCTGTGGCATGCAGGGTCTTCAGTTGCAGCATGTGGAATCTAGTGCCCTGACCAGGGGTTGAACATGGCCCCCTGTGTTGGGAGCTCAGAGTCTTAGCCTCTGGACCAGTAGGGAATGCTGCAACCTCCTACTTAAAAAAAGATTATTTATTTATTTTTGGCTTGCTGGATCTTCGCTGCTGTGCGGGCTTTTCTCTGGTTGTAGGGTGTGGGGGCTGCTCACTCATTTCTGTTCTGAACTTCTCCCTGTGGTGGCTGCTCTGGTTGGGAAGCACGGGCTCTAGGCACTTGGGCTGCAGTAGTTGTGCACGGACTTAGTTGCTCCACAGCATGTGAGGTCTTCCCAGATCAGGGATTGAACCCATGTCTCCTGCATTGGCAGGTGGATTCTTAACCACTGCACCACCAAGGAAATCATTCCCCTCCCTGCTTCCTGCCAACATCGCCGTTTAAAAAAAGACTAAAAATAATCTGTTTAGTAAATTTTCAGGAGTCTGAGCTCTGAGGTCAGCGTCTGTGGTGTCATTCTCCCAAAGGCTTCAGACACCAGTTGGGCCTATGAGTCTGGCAACCAGGGTGGGTCTGGCAGCTGAAAACAGGCTTGGCCTCTGGAGCTCTGCCCTCACTGACTCACCCAGGGTCCCTGAGCCCTGGCAGCCAAGCAGAGCCGCGCGCAGGTGGGGCTGGTACAGCCGTGGGGCCGCTGTGGTCAGGGTGGAGTGTGCAGTGGAGGCAGCTGGCTGTCTGTTCCCGTGACTCCTGGTGTCCTGTGTGCCTGTGCAGGGCAGTCACGGTGTCAGGTGAAGCCTGGCCGCTGTTGTGGGGACAGGATGGAACTTCAGACTGCTCGCATCTGCACTCCCCATCTCCCAGCTCTGCTTCAGATTGTGGCTTGTGGCTGCTGGCAGCTCCCTGGGCTGGGAGGCTGTGTAAAGCACCAGCCCCCTTGCTCAAGGTCAGTTGAGACCCCCAGCTCTGGGGTCACACACCTTCCGGCTGCTGTGCAAGTTGTCCCACTTCTGTGAGAGAGGGCCTGTGCGGGGCTGTGGGTGATGGGGGATTTGGGGGTGTTGTGGGCTGGCCCAGGAGCCAGCTTTTTGAGGGAAGGGGAGGGGAGGGAGAAGCTTTGACCTACTAGGGCTTCCAGGGGATCCCAGGCTCAGCTCTGGTGGGAGGTGCAGGTGAGAAGCCCCTGCAAGTTTCTGGGACCCCACTGTTTTTCAGTTGAAGCCCCTCTGCCTGCACCACCCCAACTCTCCCTCCCGTGGCCCCTGCCTAAAGCTGCAGAATATGGGGCATCTATATGGCTTCCCTTCCTATAGGGAAACCAAGTCACAGACAAACGCGTTCCTTTAAGAAAGCATGAAAGAAATGAGAAAATAATAGTGGGTGGTTATTACTGACACGGTTCATGTAGAGACGCTTCACAAGCCCGGCACATGGAGGGAACTGAGGGCCATTGCCCCCAGTCCTGGAGTTTGCACCCTCCGCCCCCCGCCCCATGGCCCACTCTCCCCTTGGTGTCTTCTGGTGACCGGGTGGACTTCAGCCTCTTGAACTCCTTCTGGAAGGACCAGAACAGGGCAGAGGTCATTCACAGAGGGGAGGGTGTGTTCGACCTTAAGAACACCATTGCCTCCACTCTGTGTCGGAGCTCAGTTCTGGGTCTAAGCAAGCATGGCTTCCTGGGGCGGTCACCACCCTCACTCACCCAGGGTGTGTGGGGGGGGCTTTGTGTCCACCTTGTCCCCTCGTGCAGCCTGGTCACCCCAGGACCCGTGCTGTGTGAGCATCTGCTCTGCTCACAGCACACCCTGGGGCCCATCAGACTTCACTCATGAAAGGGAAGTGTAAGGATGAACTATTCCATGGTTAAGAATTTCAAGGTTGCGACAGCGTTGCCCAGAGTGCACGGGCACAGGTGTGAGGCCCATGCATAGAGAAGTCGTGGTGTGGGCTTCAAGGATCCTCCATGCGGGGGTGGGACGGGGGCCGGTCAGGGATTTCCTGCATACCCAGCTCCTGTTCATAGCAGGGTGGACAACTGTCGGCACTGCCTGCCTGTGTCGACGGGCTCTGGGGCTGCCCAGCTCAGCAGGAACAGCAGTGGTGGGAAGGGAGGTCGCCCTCCCTTAGCAACCCTGACCTCACACCCCCTCATCAGGGCAGCCGAGTGCCTAAACGGCCCCTTCCTCATCTAGCTCTGAAGACCTGGAAGGTGTGGGGGCTGAAGCACATGCAGAAAACAAAACCAAAAAATTCTGTAAAGCAATTATCCTTCTTTTAAAAAATAATAAGAGATTAAAGAAAACACACACGAAGAACAGCAAAGGCGGGGCTTGCATCCTCAGCCAGCCTCTGCCAGATTCCACCTGTGCTTACACATCAGACCAAAATGCTGGTGCTCCCACCTCATATCACAGATGAGAATAGAGACACAGAGAGGTTGAGCATCTTGTCCCAGCTCACACACCTGCTGGGGTCAGGGCTGAGAACTGGACCCCTGTGGTCGAATCTGGAGTCCAGATGCTGTGATGACCCTGAGGGAGCGGCAGAGACCAGATGGCCCTTGCTGAGCCAGGCATACACACACAAACACACATGTGCACAAGGCCTTCGCCTTTGAGGCTACAGAAGTCAGAGGGAACCAGAGGGCCACCAGGAGAGGCCAAAGGAGAACCGAGGTCTATAAGGAGGGGAGGCCCCACTTCCCAGGAGGCCGGGGAATCCCTTCCCTGGTGAGTCTGTCTCAAACCCTAGATTCCTCTCCCTGGACCCAGGAACTGACTGTCCAGTGACCTAACTGACTTGGCTCCAGAATTATGCCTTCTGAGGGGTTCAGCTATGACTGGACTCCACTGCTGTCAGTGATAAGGGGGGAATGAGTACATAGTCTGGGCTTCAGATTTGTTTGGAGACAAAATTTATTAGAAGAGGAGTACAAAACACCACGAAGGCAATTGGCACGAAAATCTCCAGAACACCTAAGAAACCCTCTGCTGTTTATTTACCTCCTCTCCTGCCACGAAAGTGGAAGGTCTATTTAATCAAGTAATTCTGTGCTTATCACACTCTTTCTTTAAAATAGTTATTATATATTTATTTATTCAGCTGCGCTGTGTCTTAGCTGCAGCATGTGGGAGCTAGTTCCCCAATCAGGTATTGAACGTGGGTCTCCGCATTGGAGTCTTGATCCTGGGCCACCTGGGAAGTCTCTCCGCATACTCCTGGGGGCAGTAACGGGTCACAGGCCTCCTCTGAGGCCCCTTAGAGCTGAGGCATGGGGTGGCTGCAGTAGTCGTCCTGTGGCTAGGATGTGGTTTGTTGGTCACGACTCACTCACACTCCCTGCAAACAGAGGGCTTCTCCCCTGTGTGTGTCCTCTGGTGTCTGATGAGGAGGGACTCCCAACTGAAGCTTCACTCACACTCCCTGCAAACATAGGGCTACTCCCCTGTGTGTGCCTTCTGGTGTCTGATGACACTTGATTTCTGACTAAAGCTTTGCCCACACTCCCTGCAAACATAGGGCTTCTCCCCTGTGTGTGTCCTCTGGTGTCTGATGAGGACTGACTTCTGACTGAAGCTTTGCCCACACTCCCCACAAACATAGGGCTTCTCCCCTGTGTGTGTTCTCTTGTGTGAGATGAGATTTGACCTGTCACTGAAGCTTCGCCCACACTCCCCACAAACATAAGGCTTCTCCCCTGTGTGTGTCCTCTGGTGTGAGATGAGATTTATCTTCTGACTGAAGCTTCGCCCACACTCCCCACAAACATAGGGCTTCTCCCCTGTGTGTGTCCTCTGGTGTCTGATGAGGACTGACTTCTGACTGAAGCTTTGCCCACACTCCCCACAAACATAGGGCTTCTCCCTTGTGTGTGTCCTCTTGTGTGAGATGAGATTTGACTTATCACTGAAGCTTCGCCCACACTCCCCACAAACATAGGGCTTCTCCCCTGTGTGTGTCCTCTGGTGTCTGATGAGGACTGACTTCTGACTGAAGCTTCGCCCACACTCCCCACAAACATAGGGCTTCTCCCCTGTGTGTGTCCTCTTATGTGAGATGAGATTTGACTTATCACTGAAGCTTCGCCCACACTCCCCACAAACATAGGGCTTCTCCCCTGTGTGTGTCCTCTGGTGTCTGATGAAATCTGACTTGTGATGGAAGCTTCGCCCACACTCCCCGCAAACACAGGGCTTCTCCCCTGTGTGTGTCCTCTCCTGTGTGATGAGACTTGACCTGTCCTTGGAGCCTTGCCCACACTCTCCGTACATGACTCTCATAATCCCTGAGACCACTGCCCCCATGGGTAACTTGCCTGTGTCCTCTGGATTCAGTTTCTTGCTTGTGCTGGGCTCTTCTTTCATTCTCTCATGCACCCCAGAACCCCCCATTTGTCCTCTGGGTGAGTAGGAGGAGGCCCCTGAAACCCTCTTCAGCCTTATGCTTTTCAGCAATTGTTGGGGCCTGTCTTTGGCCTCGCGACCCTCAGGTTTGTCACTCAGGCTGTGTGGATTGGAATATTGCTGCTGCTGATTTTGATTGCCTGGGCAGGGATCCTCTGGTTGGAGGAGGTCTCTTTCAGATGGTCTCAGGAGGGTCTGAGAGGGGTGACTGCGTTGGATGTGTTGGCTGAGGAATTTCTGACTGGAGAAGGCCAGAAAGCAGGAGGCACATGGGTGGATCTTGGGCTTCGGTTCTGCTGAAAGAGGAGGCTTTTGTCAGGTAGCTGGTTTGCCATGGTCAGGTCTACCCCATTAATCATCTAAGTGTTGACAGTGCATGATTTGTCTCCCATCAAGTGTCTTTACAGTCCACTTTTCCATTCCACTCTTATTCTCTACATCTACAGAAATCCAGGAAGCTTGTGTCAAGGGCCTTTTCTACATATCACCCAGATAGGGACCTTCCAGCAGCATCAGAGGCAGCGTCTCTCCTGATAGAGGTGGATCTGCAGGGACCTTTCCCTGCGTGTAAGTATCTGAAAAGTCACGTCACAGTGGCCACAGGTGTTTACCCTACTGAGAGATAAGACTTGATGACTTAGGTGGAATCTCCTGAGAGGCTCCCTGTGAGGGGAAAGGGTCTATTAAGTTAGGGGTGCCTGGCCTGGAGCTCTCTGCATATGGGAGGCAGCACAGGGGGTGGTTAGAGCAGGTGTGAGTACAGCTGAATTTATGGCTCCTTGTTCAAAGAGCAGCCTTTGTGCCAATCTCTGCAGGAAGTGGGTTTCAGACTGGGCGAGATCGACTGGCCCAGGTCCTGCTGACTACAGGTCTCTGGCTCCTGCTGCCCCAGCTGGTTCACAAATTGCTCCTCTCTCAGTTTTCCATAAATCATAAAATGAAGGCATGTCCTTTCTAAAGCTTCACCAGTATTCATACATGATTTATTTCATTCAGTCTTAGTCCATTTAACGTGACTAGGAAGCCCTGTTTAAAAATACATCTCCAGCCAGACTTTTCACACACTCATTCCCAAGCATCTTTAGCCAGCCCACTCTCCCCTCATGTCTGGCAATGAACTGACCTCTGAGGGGACTCCCCACTGCTGTCTCTTCCCAAAAATGAACCAAAGCATCATCTTAGCACAGAGAACATGCCGCTTGAAGCTGAAAGCCGCACGGTTGTTCTGTGTCACCCAGGAAGACCCCTGGGGCCTGCACGTGGACACAGGCCCTGAGGCTTCCGTGTCCCATCCAGCCTCCTTCCCCTCCCTCTGTGCTTCCTCCCCCGACCCCTGGCATGGCCTCTCTTCCCGTCCCTGGGGCTGTGGCACTGGCTGCTCCCCTCCCTGGAATCCTTCCCCGCGGGTGTTATCTCTGCAGAGACCCTGCCACACCGTCCTGCGCCACACCCCACCCTCTGCTCACGCTGACCCGAGGCACGTTCCCTGCGCTGGTTTTCCTCAGAGCACCAGCCCCTGCCTGGCATGAAGCCCCTGCTGCCCCAGGGCAGTGGTTCTGTCTGTTTCGGCACGTGGAGCCCCGTCTGGCACAGAGTGTGAACTCACATGACAACAAACTGGAACGGTAGCTGAATGCAAATCACTGTACATGTGTCGCTTAGAAATGGGAGGAAATGAGGAAGAAACAGGTAAAGGGCAGAGAGCTGGTAGGTGCTAGAAAACTTGCTTTTTGCTTCTAAGCCTTTCAGCAGAAGGTGATGTTACACTTTTTTTGCATGAAATATTGAAAATTAGAGCTAACATTTTTAAAAGAAAATTTTTTCCTAACAGTCATATGAAATGAATCAAATTCTGAGGCATATTAATGATGACTTGACTGACTTTAGACTGGATTGTACTCTGCTTTGGAATTGGCCTAGGGAGGCACCCCAGGATGGGGTGGGGTGCTGGAAGAGGGGTGACACTCACCTCTCCCGGTCGCGAGCTCACTCTTCCCCCTGCTGTTCCGCTTGATGCCAAGGTGCTGGCCATACTCGTCCCCATACCAGACCAGCAGCTCACAGCCCGGCCTGACCACCTGGCAGGTTTTGTAGAAGATCTGCCCGTGATACTGGAAGGCCACCAGGTTCTGCTCCTCATCGTCCCGGGCACAGTTGACATACCTGGGGTCGAGGCCGGGAAAGGGAAAGAAACCTCAGGTGATGAGTGCCCTCCACTCTCGGACCATGCCCAGCTCCTTGCCTTCAGGCTCGGAGGCCACCATGGATCCCACCGCCCCTCATGGGGACCTTCTGTTCACACCTTTGACCAGGCCACATGATTTCCTATTTCCAGATCCTGTTTCCTGTCCTCTTCCTGGCTGGAATGCTTTTCTCTCCTTACCTAATTAGCCATTTTCCAGAGCTCAGTTCCAGACTCGTCTCCACCTGGACTGTCCGTGAGGCTGATGACCTCCAGCTCCTCTAAACTCTGAACTAAGTTCTCTTTCATTCCCAGGACTTGGTGCTCCTTGGCTAGCACACAGCCCTCAGCACTCACCCCAGCCTGCCTTCTCTCCTGAGGCTTTCCTCCCATCTCCCCACGTGTATCCAGGGTCCTATTTGCTTGCCCACCCCCTTGCATGGAAACTTGGAGAGTGCTCTGACAGAGCTTGAGACACTGAACCGTAACAGTTTATTCACTTTCTGCCTGCCTTGATGAAAGGAGAGGCCCTCAGAGAATGGCCCTGCTCAGGGCCATCCTGCTCCCCATTCTTTCTGAAGACTCAGGGCTCACTTCTCACTGGAACCGAGCCTGGGGAGGTTGTTGCCCACATAGAGTCAAGGTCTCCTGTGTTAGGTTATCCTGGCACTGTGCAGTTACTCAAAGTTAGAAAAATTAAGGTTACTGTTCCTAAAGTCAATTGGCTAATGTCTGTCTGCAGTATGTTCTCCAAAAGGACATGGGTTGTGTGATCTGATTCAGTAACGAAGTTCACTGTCTAAACTGAAACATAAAGTGCTTGGTAAGTGTCAATTAAGTGAGTTAAAGTGTTCCTGGTGAATCTAGACTCCTCAAGTTGTTTTCGAGTCCCCCAGTTTTGTTCAGCATGTAGACTTATATTTTGATGGCACATGTGATATTTTTATTTCCTCCTTTCTAATGTCTTTTGAAATGAAAGAGCATGATATGGAGGGCAAAGAGGAAAGAAGATGTGAAAGTTGTTGAGGGAGCTGGGTTGAGAAGGAAAGGGGTGTGGGATTGAGGGAGTATCCACGTCTACACACTGCAGACTCACTGCACTCACCTCATCCAGTTGGCCCAAGACGTGTCCTTTCCATCCACATACTCGTAGCAGTTTCTCCCTTTGGTGATCTGAGTGTCAGAAAAAGAGTTACAAGCTTTCCTCTCTATTTTTTTTTGGTAGGAAGCAACAGAAGAGCTATTTCCCTCTGCAGTCATTGGTGCTCTTCAGCCTGCATGGATTCAATTGCCAGCTGGACCACACGGTAAGCTCCTTACTCATCATTCCAAGTCTGAGTCTCCTGGTTCATTGAAGGCAAGGGCTCCACAAGGGAGGAGTCACTTCTGTGTGCCTGTACCACTGTGCTCCCACCTCTCCTCTGACCTTTGGATAGAGGTCCTGTGTGTCTGTACACTGTGTTCCCACCTCTCCTCTGACCTTTGGATAGAGGTCCTGAGTGTCTGGACACTGTGTTCCCACCTCTCCTCTGACCTTTGGATAGAGGTCCTGTGTGTCTGTACACTGTGGTCCCACATTTCCTCTGACCTTTAGATGGAAGTCCTGTGTTCACGCCTAGTGCACACAGTACACAGGGCTGACTGTGTCATTGCCGACCATGTCATCACCTTCTGCGTCCTCGCATGTAGACATGAAGTACCCCCCACCACATACAAGCTATTAGAGGCCAGAGGACAGGGAAACGGGTGCTTCTCACCAGCCAGGAGTACCCATTGTTGGCGGCTTCTTCGTCATCTGTGATCTGGCCCTCATAGGGGCCAAAGTGAAGGCCCCGCGGCAGATCGGACGCCTCGTTCCACACTCCAAGCCCAGCGTCAGGGATGCCCGACCGCCTGATGCTTAACCCAGGGGGCAGGGTGAGCGCTGAGCGGTCGGCGTGCCCCTTTGGCACTGCACGGTCCTTTACGAAGGCTGGGGGCCCGTGGGCAGCACAGCTGTCGATGAAGAAGTTCTGACACTGCTCACAATCTGGAGGTGAGAACAGGGATGAGGGGAGGTATAGTGATGTTGCTGGTCGTAACGACCTTCAGAAAGAACTGGGGCATTCATGGCATTTGGCCTCAATCCTGCATCCCAAGTCATAGAGGAAGGGGATGATTGGGGGACCAAATGGTGAGGTGAGGTTAGTGGACCAAGGCCTCGTAGCCCCTTCTCCGCGAGTGGGCCAGCGGGGTCACTCACAGAGGTAGTCGTCATCCTGGGGCTCGCTGACCTCTTGGTACACGTGGCCCTTTCTTTCTCGTAGACTGTACCTCTTCACTCCAGTCTCCTTTCTTCTGAGTTCTAAGATGGAGAACAGAAGCTAAGCAAGGCCGGTGGGGTCTGCAGAGTTAGTCCCTGTTTTATCAGAAAGTGTGGGATCTCCACCTGTCCATCTATACACTTTGTTAAAACTTGTTTACATGTATTTTTCAAACTTTTACTTTTGTAATTTTATGTTTTAATGTTACATTATTTATTTCTTGGCCACCTGCATGGCTTGTGGGATCTTAGTTCCCTGGCCAGGAATGGAACCCACACCTCCTGCAGTGGAAGCGTGGAGTCTTAACCACCTAACCCCCAGGAAGTCCCTTATGTATACTTTGTTCCTTCTCCCTTTAACTACAGGTTCAGGGGACTGAGGCTCCACTGACCACAGATGCCCAGTTCAGTGATAGCTTCCTGCACTTCCCGTTAGTAGGTTTAACTTCCCAACCTTCTTACCTAGGAAATAGTTCACTGACACCTACTCAGAAAATATATGTTAAGGGCACATGACAGGTAAGGCATTGAGCAGAGGTCTGGGCATAAACACTAATAAAGCACGGTTCCTATTATCAGCTGGATTTATTGAACTACTTGTAGGTATCAGACTTTTGCATTTAATGCAAGGCTTTCAAGCACCGTATGAGTTATGTATCCTTATCTTCACTTTACAGATAGCAATCAGGACCTCAGAAAATGTTAAGATTTTCTCAAGGCCCCAGTGCTAACTTCATGTCTCAGATCAGTCCAGCTTAAACCCACGCCTACCCAAAGTCCATGCCACACACCTAGGCCATACTTATTAGTTTTGATTAGAGGAACTAATTAGAGGAACTCCCCAAATTTTCTCTTACCGACTTTTTGTCTGGGGTGCTGTCCAGGGGTCCTTGCTTTTCTGGGACGGGGCACTTGCTTGGAGCCACTTGTCTTCAGCAATTTTGCTGCTCCCGGCAATTCCTTCAAACTAGATTCCTTACTTAATGGTGCCCTGGGCATTCCCTTCCATGTGAGTAAAAGACAACATGCATCCTTTTAGTTCTTTAGGACTTTATTAAGTGTTTCCACATGCATGACTTTAGTTAATACTTTTTCAATTCTTGGACATACCTGGTGGAGGGTGGGTCTGAACACTGGAGTGAAAAAAAGGACTTAAATTGGTAGTGAACCAAAACTAGAATTCATATCTTAAGGTTTTTTCCCTTCAACTTTCTGCATAAAAGTGAGAATAAGGCAGAGAGAATAGCTGGAGGTCAGGGAAACAAGAGGGTAAGGGCTCATAGAGAAATCTGGGGGGGGGGTGGTTTCTATTAATTAGTGGAGCTTTGATGGACTAGGAAGTATGGAAAATTACAGAGGGGACAAAACACAACCGGAAAATAAGGTGACAAAGCAGTGAGATTGAGAAGAGAAAAGATGATCAGCAGAAACACATTTAGACAATAAAGAAAATGAGCTGAAAGTTGCAGGTTACCATGTCCTAGAGACAATGTTTGGAATTAAAGTAGCTGGTCTCATCAATTCTGCTTGAACAAGGCTGTACGACTAGCTGATTCTCCTCAGTTTCCTGACCATAAATTGGTATATATTCTAATTTTTAATGTTACAGTAGACATGAAATTTAATACCATTTCAAGAAATCATTGTGTGAGCTATTTAATACAGTATGAATGTGAGCGTACATCCCTGCCATCAATTTATCCCTTCAACTGCCTCTGTATTTGAGGTCTAGCTCACAGATACTATCTTCAGCATTCTTTGACATTCCTTCTCCTAGATGAATGTTTAAATGTGGAGACACTCATTCATAAAACGTTCAGGGGGCCCTTAGGGGCTTTGAGCTGGGCCTGGACTTCTGAGAATTAACAGGTACGGGCTAGGCTCTCAAAGCTCACAACACAGGGGCAGGCTAAACAAATGATTCCAAACAGGAGAGTTGCCTAATCAGAGCTCAGGAGAAGGACTTGTTACTCCCTCCTGCAAGAATGAGCATTTGAAATGATGCCCAGATGATGAGTTTCTACTCAAAAGCGGGTAATCTATGTGAAGTCCTTCAGTTATTTTCTTATTTGCTGCTTTTCAGTCATAAACCTGAGGCTTGTCAGGGCTGCAAGTTGCTTCCTCTTATTGGTGTGGGAGGTTCTGCGATAAGGATCCTGTCGCCTTCTTTATCTTGGACCGTCCACTCTAAAAACTGCCCAACATATCCTTAAGCTTCCCTTAGTCAGATGTCTTAGCATACCCCTCCCTAGCACAGCACAAAAGAACTGAAGTTGAAGACATCTCTCAGATGAATGCTATAAAGATGTATGAATAAACTTCATAGAACTATGGAAGTTTTAATCAGTTTGTAAGGGGTTTAGAGAATATGCTTTGGATTAGATTGCACTACCAGTGATACTGTGATCTCAGGCATATAATCAAATGTTTTCTACCTCATTTTTTTGATCTATAATGGTGATAGCTATGTATCTGCTTATAGGTACTGTAGGATTGTTTAAAGGTTTAAGTAAGTTTATTCACACAAAATGCTTACAGTCTGAAATATTGTGAAAATAATGTAACAATAGAACAGCCTACTATTGTTGTTGTTCTTACTAACTATAAAGGTGGTGGTGATATCAGACAGTGTGCTAAAGATTCAGGACAGGAAGGCAGCAGCCTCCAGGATCTCTGTGTCTGTTTCCTCCTATTCTCAGCTGTGACTGGATCCGTGAGGAGGATATTTTGGCAACAGGATTTGGGAAATACTCACCTTCTGGTGTTTACTGTGCTTTGCTCTGAAGGTCATCACAGAAGGTTTACCTAAAGAGTGATGAGAACCAGTGTGTTGGTTGGTTGGTGTTTCCACACTCGGGCTTCTAACTCAGGACACAGGACCCTGAGCCAGAGCGCGACAAGGACAAGGGTTGCCAAGGAGGAATGGAAGGTGGCTTCTGTATCATCAGCTCCTATGCTTCCACTGGGAGCATTGCATAATTTTCTTAAAATTAAAAAAAATGAAACTTAATCTGTGCCTCATCTGATGTCCATAAAGTAATAAATTTACTCTCCTTTCATGACAAAAATACTCAACAAAGTAGAAATAGAAGGAAGTGGCTGCAATATAATAAAGGTCATATATGGAAAGTCTACCTCTAACATCATAGTCATCAGTGAAAACCTGAAAACTTCTAAGATCCAGAAAACAGGGGGTGGTCCTAAGATGGCGGAGGAATAGGACGGGGAGACCACTTTCTCTCCCACAAACTCATCGTAAGATCCAGAAAACAAGGCAAGGATGCCCATTCTCAACATTTCTATTAACCATAATATTAGAAGTCCTAGCCAGGGCTTTAGGTTAGGAATGGAAACAAAAGGCTTCCATTTGGAAAGAAAGAAGCAAAATTATGTCTGCTCACAGAAGACATGATTTTATGTACAGAAAAATCTTTAAAATTCCACACACACACAAAAAACCTGCACAGAAAGTTGCACGGTCCAAAATCAACATTCAAATATCTTTCCCTGCATGAACAATGACCATTCGAAAAGGAAAATAAGAAAACAATACTATTTATTTTTTATTTTTTAAAGCTATAGTCAAGAGCTAAATTTAAATTTTAAAAATATATTTGCTTTTATTTATTTATTTGTGCCAGGTCTTTGTTGCAGCATGTGGGATCTATTTCCCTGACCAGGGACTGAACCCAAGTTCTTTGCATTGGGAGTGTGGCGTCTTAGCCACTGGACCCCCAGAGAAGTCCCAATAATCTTATTTATAATAGCATCAAAAAGAATGAAATAATTGGGAGTAAACTTAAGGAGATGAAAGACTTATACATTGAAAACTACAAAGTATTGCTGAAAGGAATCTGACATACGTAAATAGAAAGGCAGCTCATGTTTGTGGATTTGGAGACTGAATATTATTAAGCTGTTCATACTACCCAAAGCAATTTAAAGATTCAATGCAATTCTTATCAAAATCCCAATGGATTTTTTTCTGGTATAGAAAATCCATCCTACAGTTAATCTGGAATCTCAGAGAACCCAAATAGGCAAAACAATCTTAGAAAGAACAGCAAAGCTGGAGGCCTCTGATTTCAGAACACATTTCAAAGGTACAGTGACCAAAAGAGGGCTGTTTTGGCCTAAAGCATGTGCTTAATCGCTCAGTGGTATTGACTCTTTGTGACCTTTTGGACTGTAGCCCACCAGGCTCATCTATCCAGGGGATTTCTCAGGCAAGAATACTGGAGGGGGTTGCCATTTCCTTCTCCAGGGGATCTTCTTAACCCAAGGATTGAACCCGTATCTCCCGTGTCTCCTGCATTGAAGGCAGATTCTTCACCTGCTGAGCCACTGAGGAAGCCCGCTGGCATAAAGACAGACATGTCAATCAGTGGAACAGAATAGACAGCCAGAAATAAACAGAAATACACTCTTGGAAACATGGTTTAATGATCTTCATCAAAGGTGTCAGGACAACAGGGAAAGTTTAATCCCTATAACGAATGGTGCTGGGGAAACAAAATATCCATATGCAAAATAATGAAGATCTTACATCATGAAGAAAAATCAACTCAGAATGGATTAAAGACCTAAATGCAAGACTTGATAAGACTCTTAGAGGAAAACAAGGGTTAAGCTTCATGACACTGAATCAGCAATGATTTCTTAGATATGGTACCAAGTGCACAAGTATTAGTAACAAAGTAAAAATAGACAAATGAGATTACATTAACCTTAAAACCTCTGTGCAGTGAAGGACACAGTGAACAGAGTGAAAAGGCCACCTACAGGACGGTAGAAAATGTTTGTAAAATATGTATCTGATAAGGGGTTAATAAGCATACACCAATATGAAGCCTACCTATAAGTCAGGAAGAGAACCTGATTGACCATGATGGCACCCTGATATCAAACTTCCATGCTCCAGAATTGTAAGAAGATAAATTTCTGTGGTTTAAGGCAAGCAGTCTGTTTTGTTATGGCAGCCTGAGCTGACTAACACAGTGGGAGAAGGAATTGAATAGACATTTCTCCAAAGAAGATACACAAATGGCCAAGAAACATATGAAAAGATGGTCAATATTACTAATCAATAGAGAAATACAAATTAAAAGCACAATGGAAATTATCTCATATCTTCTGTGATGGGCAATATGAATAAGAAGACAATAGCAAGTTTGTTAAAGATGTGGAGAAATTGGAACCCTTATACACTATTGTTGGAAATGTAAAATGTTGCAACCTTCATAGAAAACAGTATGGAGTTTCCTCAGAAAATTAGAACTGCTGTATGATCTAGCAATCCAACTCAAGAGTATATTTCCATAAAAAATTGAAAGCAAGATCTTGAATAAATAGTGTGCACATCTATGGTCATTGCAGCATTATTCCCAGTTGGTGAGATGTGGAAGCAATCTAAATGTTCATTGGTGGATAAACAGATAAAGATTATATATAAGATATATTTTATATCTGTTATATACACATGCACACAATGGAATGTCTTTAAGCCTTAAAAAAGAATTCTGTTATATGCTACATCATGGATGGGCCTTGATGATATTATGCCAAGTGAAATGAAACAATCAAAAAAGACAAATATTGCCTGATTCCACTTCTATGAGGTATCTAAGTTAATCAAATCTATGGAAACAGAAAATATAATCATGGTTGCCAAGGGCTATGAGGATGAAGGATTGCAGAATAGTTGCTCAGTGGGTTAGGGCTTCAGTCACGCAAGATGGAACATTTCTACAGATTTGTTGTACAGCAGTGTGTGTATATATCCCCAATGGCTCAGTGGTAAAAAATCCGCCCGCAATGCAGGATGCAACAGACGCAGGTTCGATCCCTGGGTTGGGAAGATCACCTGGAGGAGGAAACGGCAACCCACTCCAGGATTCTTGCCTGGAGAATCCCATGGACAGGGGAGCCTGGTGGGCTACAGTCCGTGGGTACGCAAAGAGTCGGACATGACTGAGCAATTAACACTATGGCCACTAACACTAATGTGTACATAGTTGGCAACAGTGTACCATACACTCAGAAATTGTTAAGAAGGTAAATTAAGATGTGCAGAGGTATGGTGAACTGTGGCGTATGTTTTCCCTATAAAGAATCTCTCTTCATGTCAAAACCTTTGCAGACAACCAAATATTTGGTTTTCATGTCCCTTTCACTAGTTTTAATAACCTAAGGGAACAGAGGGACTTCCCTGGTGGCACAGTGGATAAAAATCTGCCTGCCAATGCAGAGAACACAGGTTCGATGGCACTTTCTGTGGGGCAACTAAGCCTGTGTGTTACAAACTACTGAGCCTGCATGTGCTCTGCAACAAGAAGCCACTCACAGCAACCAGAGGAAGCCTGTGCACAGCCACGAAGACCCAGTGCAGCCAAAACTAAGTAAATAATTTTTTAAAATCTGGGAGAACAGAAATTCATAGATGGAGAATCATAGAACTATCTAAATTGTTTTCTCAAGTCTAGGAAGATTAACTCTTCTAAACTGTTTGAGCAGCAGAAGAGGAAGTGAGCTGCTCACTTCTATTTTATAATGACTGTACTTCATTTTATTTACCTGATGCTGTCTCTGGTCAGTGGAATATGGGAAAGATCAGGGAGAATAAATAGTTCTCTCAAACCCTTTCCCAGAATCAAAACAAAGAATTAGTTTAACCTTAGGGTAAGATTATGTGGTGTTGTTTTATAGACATACATAAATAATGTATCTTGACATAATATGTTAATCATTTCCTCTTCTAAGAGATTTAATCCAATAACTGAATTATTATGATATTAGTATTAAATCTCTTTGGTGAATTTATAGTCTAAGGTTTCTTTAATTGCCTTTCATTAAGAATGTTTAGCAAAAATAATTATTTTTAAAAAGAATGATAAATTTTAACCATAAAACTTTTGAGAATTACACTGGAAAACCTATACATTCATCTTCATTCAGGCTCATGTCAATATTCGGCCACAACCACTTTGGAATTATGTTTTCTTTGCTAATGGTTGAGATGTAGTTGAGACCTAAGCCCAGGCTGGTTTCAGCAAGACACCTCTAAATTCTCCTGGCCCCTCACCTTGCTGCCTTGGTGTCCATTCTTCATCAGAATCCTCAGTGTCTTCTACCTGGGGCTTGATGACCTGCCTGTGGTGATGCATGAAATCCGGTCGAGTGGCTCTGAAACCTGGAAAGAAGCAAAATATTTGTCCTAAGAAGGAGAAACAAAGCACAGAAGCAATGGGAAGTGTCACAAAGTCAGGGAATCAGTGGGATGGGCTGGGGGAATCTAGAACAAGGCAAGAGGTGAGCTCTGCACTGCAGGGTCAACCTCCCTTTGGTACAAAACTGTAAATATTTCCTTTAGGTGAGTCACCACACTAAAGGGAACTGTGAGCAGATGAAGCCACCTAAGAGCGGGCCAAGTGAACCCTGAGGATGAAGACCTGTTTCATGTTTCCCAGGCTTACAGGCACCCAGCACTTCCTGTTACCTATAGCAATCAGCACTTCGTAGTTTCTTTTCATATTCCTATAACGGATTTTTTCCCATTCTCCCATCTCTTCCCATTCTTCCTTGGAGAAGTATACGGAGATGTCTTTGAAAGCATCTTTGGCCTAAGGAAAATAATAAGAGTTCATCAGTGATTTACTAATATGTCAGATCTTAGAGCTGGGCCTTCTCCTCCACCTTTGGTGCAGGGAGTAGCCTGAAGCTACTGGATGGTCTCTGTGAGACAGAGATGAAGATTTTTCTTCCTGACTGTGTCCTGCTTAACTGAACAAATACTGAGCATTTTCCTAGCTCTCCCTGGACGCAGAACAGTTGACGAAGCTACTGTCCTGTTTTGTCCCACTCCACCCCACCATCTCAGACAGGACCAGGCATTCCCATCCTGTGTACAGTCCAGGGAAGTTCACTCGGCTGCCTAGGCAAGCAGTCTGTGGTGCTTCAGGGACCAGCACCATGTCCTTCCTATAGAGCTGGCTGAGAGCCCAGCTTTGCTGCCTCCACCTCTCACCGTGGGCTTCCGCTCTGTTCTCCCAGCATCTCCCTCAGTGCTTTCCTCTGGAGACTTGTTCGGCCTCATGGCCATTGGAGTGCTCAAGGCCAAGGTGCCTGTGGAAGAAGAAGGTGCTGAGACAGCCCAGACCACTGTCCAGAGCCTGGTCTGTCTTCCTTGGGTGGAGTGTCTAGGGAAGGAAGGTGAGGGGAAAGCCGGGCTGAGGGTATTGGTGGGATGGAGGGATCCTGACTAGCTATGACAGACCAGCCTAATGTGAGCTAGATTTGGTTTCTTTGGATCCCCTACAATTCAGCTCCTCCGAGGAAAGGCACTGGGAGGGACTTGTCTGTGGTTGATGGAGGGATTCCTGAGGAGACTTGGAAACCCCTAACTGCTGGCCTGGGGTCAGGCTGAAATCAGGGCTATGTTCCAGTGCAGGAGAGGGACTATTTCTCCAAGAAGGGTTTCGAGGATCTCTGCCTGGGGACTCAGAAAAATTTGGGCATAACGTGGGTTCTATATCTAAGGGACAGGTCACTTGGCTTGAGGAGATATGGGTCCCACGGGCTGAAGGAACTGGGGTCCTTAGAGGGGACTGGGGATCTTTTGGCTGATGTAGAATGCGCAGGGTGAGAGAACTTGAGATCCTTGAGGCTGAGGAAATCAGGGGTTTCTTATTAAGGTGCTTTAGGTCTCCGACAGGCAGGACAGTTGGGGTCCTGAGGACGAAGAGTTTTAAGAGCTCCCAGGCTGACGTATTTAGGGTCTTCAAGGTTAAGGAAATTTGGTCTCTGCGGGTGCTATTTTTAGGGTGCCTCAGGCTGAGGGGAACTGGGGTTAATCTAGGTATTTGAGGGTCGCAGCACTAGGGGATTCGGTGTTTCTGCGGGTGAAGGGACTTGTAGTCCCTGAAGCTGATGAGACGCAAGCTTCCTTCAGATTAGGGCTCAGGTTCCTCAAAGCTGACGGGATTTGGGGCCTCTCACCCTGGAATTTGAAGTCGTCAGGCTAAGGGTTTATGAGGGTTTTGCAGGGTGCGTTCCCGTCAGTCTCCGTGCTGTCCTGCGGCGTTGCCCAACCCGGCCTGGGGCGCCCTAGTAGCTCAGCGATGTCTAGTCTTCCCGCGCTGAGGCGAAGCGAAGGGCGAGCGGCTGCCCCCTACCCTTGTCAGGCACGAGCGACCAATCGGCGTTGCGACCGAGGCAGTCTGGCCAATGGGCCCCGGGAGTGTGCGGAGCGCGATGGAGGCCCCGCCCCACCGCTCGGGGATTGGCTGCTCTGAGGGCGTGTCTGTCGAGTAGCTCCAGTGCGCAGGCGCATCTTGGCAGTTTTCTTTGCTTGTTTTCAGGCATGGCATCTTAGGCCTGGATCCTCAAGTGAGCGGGTTGTCCTCAGGCTGGATGTTTCCCTCCAGTGCCCTCAACTAGAACTCGGCTCCACCAGATTGTAGTCATGCTCCCGGACTTTCTCCTAGGCCCACCTGTGCCCTACCTTGTCAAATCCAGTTTTGGCAAGAGCTCTATGTGATGACTACTGTATTACTCAGAGGAAAATGTTGTAATTAACTAAATTCTGATGAGACACAGGATAAACAACATATGGTCAAAGATTTAAATGCAAGGCATGGAATAAGTATGTTAGAAAAAACTTGGAGGATTTTAAACCTCAAAGTAGAAGTGGCACTGATGAGTCATCTGTATATTTAATGTAGGTATTAAAAGCCTTCAGAAATGAGGTATAAATAAAACCTGAAAGCCTTGCGAATGTTTTCTGTAAAACGAGGCATCAAACTGGAGGACAAAGGATCCACAGAGCTGAGTTTGCTTGACACCCACTGGCTTCACAAGGTAAAATAGGGACACTGTTTCTGGCCCTTAGCTAGATTTGCTCACAGAAAAATAACGTGATTTCCATGTATTGGAAGCAAGACAACTGACCGTAGAATTAGTATTAAGTGGTGGTTGGGAATCTGGACGGAGAAATGTTACCAGGAAAGTGAGTTTACCTCTTGGTGGGTGTTGAGCCAGAAGATACAACCCAGCCAAAGCTCATGGGAAGGGAAAGTGCATTACTTGCAGAACTATGGAGAACACCATGGAGCTTTCCAGAGCAGTATCTCTCTAAACTGCAAAGTTGGGGTCTATGGGTACAAAGTTTAATCTATGGGTACAGGCATGTTCAGACTTTCATGGTGGCTCAGACGGTAAACAATCTGCCCATAGCAGAAGACCCGGGTTCAATCCCTAAGTGGGGAAGATCCCCAGAGGAGAGCGGGGCAGTCCACTCCAGTGTTCTTGCCTGGAGAATCCCATGGACAGAGGAGCCTGGCGGTCCATGGGGTTGCAAAGAGTCAGACACGAGGGAGTGACTAACACGCTAACTTTACAGGCATGTTCATTAAGAGTCGTGGGCTGTGGGAGACTCCAAGCTTCAGCTGATTGAAGTCTTGAGAGTCAGAACCAGTCACCATCAGCATCCCTTACATTCCAGCTGATCTGGTATAGATATCTATTCTTGATATAGATATAGATATCTATTCTTCTTCATATTTTTCCCCTTATCAGTTCAGTTCAGTCACTCAGTCGTGTCTAACTCTTTCTGATCCCATGGCCTGCAATATGCCAGGCTTCTCTGTCCATCACTAACTCCCAGAACTTGCTCAACTCATGTCCATTGAATTGGTGATGCCATCCAACCATCTCATCCTCTGTCACCCCCTTCTCCTCCCGCCTTCAATCTTTCTCTTTTCAAATGAGTCAGTTCTTCACATCAGATGGCTAAAATATTGGAGCTTCAGCTTCAGCATCAGTACTTCCAATGTATATTCGGGACTGATTTCCTCTACGATTGACTGGTTGGATCTCTTTGCAGTCCAAGGGGCTCACAAAAGTTTTCTCCAACACCACAGTTCAAAAGCTTCAATTCTTTGGCACTCAGCTTTCTTTATGGCCCAACTCTCACAACCATACATGACTACTGGAAAAACCATAGCTTTGACTAGATGGACCTTTGTCAGCAAAGTAATGTCTCTGCTTTTTAATATGCTGTCTAGGTTGGTCATAGCTTTTCTTCCAAGGAGCAAGTGTCTTTGAATTTCATGGCTGTAGTCACCATGTGCAGTGATTTTGGAGCCCAAGAAAATAAAGTCTCTCGCTGTTTCCATTGTTTCCCCATCTATTTGCCATGAAGTGATGGAACCAAATGCCATGATCTTCATTTTCTGAATGCTTTAAGTCAGTTTTTTAACTCTCCTCTTTCACTTTCATCAAGAGGCTCTTCAGTTCCTCTTCACTTTCTGCCATAAGGGTGGTGTCATCTGCATATCTGAGGTTATTGATACTTCTCCCAGCAGTCTTGATTCCAGCTTGTGCTTCTTTCAGCCCAACATTTCACATGATGTACTCTGCACATAAGTTAAGTAAACAGGGTGACAATATACAGCCTTGACATACTCCTTTCCCAATTTACAACCAGTCCATTGTTCCATGTCCGGTTATAACCATTGCTTCTTGACCTTCATACAGATTTCTCAGGAGGCATTTAAGGTGGTCTGGTATTCCCATCTTTTAGGAACTTTCCAACAGTTTGTTGTGATCCACACAGTCAAAGGCTTTGACATAGTCAATAAAGCAGAAGTAGATGTTTTTCTGGACTCTCTTGCTTTTTTCATGATCCAATGGATGTTGGCAATTTGATCTCTGGTTCCTCTGCCTTTTCTAAATCCATCTTGAACATCTGGAAGTTCTTGGTTCACGTACGTTGAAACCTCAGTTGGAGAATTTTGAGCATCACTTTGCTAGCATGTGAGATGAGCACAATTGTGCAGTAGTTTGAACATTCTTTGGGATTGCCTTTCTTTGGAATTGGAATGAAAACTGACCTTTTCCAGTCCTGTGGCCACTGCTGAGTTTTCCAAATTTGCTGGCATATTGAGTGCAGCATTTTAAGAGCATCATCTTTTAGGACTTGAAATAGCTCAGTTGGAATTCCATCACCTCCACTTGCTTTGTTCGTAGTGATGCTTCCTAAGGCCCATTTGACATCACATTCCAGGATGTCTGGCTCTAGGTGAGTGATAACACCAGTGTGGTTATCTGGGTCATTAAGATCTCTTTTGTATAGTTCTGTGTATTCTTGCCACCTCTTCTTAATATCTATTGCTTCAGAAATGATCCATACCTTTTCTGTCCTTTATTGTGCCCGTCTTTGCATGAAATGTTCCCTTGGTATCTCTAATTTTCTTAAAGAGATCTCTATTCTTTCCCATTATATTGTTTCCCTCTATTTTTTTTTTTTTTGTTGTTGTTGTTGCATTGTTCACTTAAGAGGTTTTTCTTATTTCCTTGCTAATCTTTGGAACCTTGCATTCAGATGGGTGGATCTTTTTCCTTTTCTCCTTTGCCTTTAGCTTCTCTTCTTGTCTCAGCTATTTGTAAGGTCTCCTCAGACAACCCTTTTTGCCTTTCTGCATTTCATTTTGGTGGATTGTTTTAATCATGGCCTCCTGTACAATGTAGGAGCCTCCATCCATAGTTCTTCAGGCACTCTGTTTATCAGATCTAATCCCTTGATTCTATTTGTCACTTCCACTGTATAATCATAAGGGATTTGATTTAGGTCATACCTGAATGGCCCAGGGGTTTCCCCTACTTTCTTCAACTGAAGTCTGAATTTTGCAATAAGGGCGTCATGATATGAGCCACGGTCAACTCATGGTCTTGTTTCTGCCGACTGTGTAGAGCTTCTCCATCTTTGGCTACAAAGAACACAATCAATCTGATTTTGGTATTAACCATCTTATGCTGTCCATGTGTAGAGTCTTCTCTTGGGTTGTTGGAATATAGTGTTTGCTATGACCAGTGCATTTTCTTTGCAAAACTCTGTTAACCTTTGCCCTGCTTCATTTTGTACTCCAAGGCCAAACTTGCCTGTTACTCCAGGTATCTCTTGACATCCTACTTTTAAAAAAAAATTAATTAATTTTAACTGGAGGTGGATTACTTTACAATATTGTGGTGGTTTTTGCCACACGTTGACATGAGTCAGCCACAGGTGTACATGTGTCCCCCTGTCCCAAACCCCCC